CAAATAGTTTCGGTATGGACAAGTACCGCAATACACAGCATCATCGAAGGTAGTTCATTTGTCAGCGTATTAATTATATAATTGACAGATGACTCAAATCTAAGGACAATTAATGTCCATTACATTCATCAATTACTGTAATTGATAATAGCAATTAGCTATCAAAAATGCTTTCCAAATTCACGCATTAATTGCTAATCTCAAGTGTGTCAGGAGCAAAATGATGTAATAGTTTCCGATATAATGTTAAAACATTGAAATCTCTTTCATAAATATAGTAATTCAAATATCGATGTAACAAAAGAATAAGTATTGAAAAATTTATTAAAATATGTATTTAATTTAAAAGAAATATTTTTGTTAAAAATGCCTTGGTTTGTTATACATATTTTCAATATATTAATTACAGATCATGAAAGATAAATTTTCAAGCACTTGTATTTTATATTTTTAACACTTCATGAAATTTTCGCATTTTGTTTTGTTTGTGTATCTTTTCGAATATTTGATAACAATAATTTCATGAAAAGAGTATTCAACACGTGAGTGGTCTCGATTTGCAAATCACATTGAAGATGCATTTTTCATTTCTCGCGAATGAAGATTAATGAATAAAAGTTTGAAAAGGCTTCAACAGCATAAAAAGTTTTCTGCAAGATACTTGATATTTTATTGATATAAAAATCTAAAATACAACACTTGTCTTGTCATTAAATAAACAATTAAATAATCGTGTTCGTCTTTAAGAAACTGCGATAGAGGTTTCTAGAGAAGTGTGAATCCGAAACGGATTATCATTTATGAACATTCGCGTAAATACTTTTGAAAAAAGGAAAATTACATAAAAAATAATTATGTAACTTTAGTTCAAGAAAATTAAAATATTATTTAAAACTTATTTAAATATTGAATTTGATTATAATACATAAGAGCAATAATTTTTTAATATAACTAACCTGATGATATATATTGATTTTATATCTCTTATTTCAACGAGATAATTTTAAAAGTTGTTAAAGATCGCAATTATAATCGAGTTTTGATATATTATTTACATAAATGTTAAAATATTGTACTTAAATAATTATTAATTCTCTCAGTTGGTAGGTACGTTATTTATGTAATGTAATTAAGAATAAAATTTAAACTAATGATAATGTAAATTTAACCTAATATTGAATAATATATTTTCTTGAATAGAAACGACATGTCAATGTACTAATTAACTGAATAATTTTTACGTGACGGAATTAATAAAAAATAAATACAAACTCCGTAAATAGTACTATCTCGCAAATATGTATATGTGTATCAATGATATTTACTTTTAGGTTTGAGAATTGAAGCGAAAACAGCGCGAAAATTAGAACGACGATAAAAATAATCAAAGATTATATATGACAGATAAGATTAATAATCATGACTCATGAAATGATAATTCCTGTAATCATCACTTCTAACAAGATTACGTTTATCTATCAGCACGTAATTTCATACTTGTAAAATAAAAATGATACTTAATAACAAGACTAATGATAACATTAGCTTTATTAGCGGATATTGTTAATTATTTTTATTAATACGAAACATAAAGAACAGACATAAATGACATGTTTAAGACTGATTCATATTACAGCTTTAAAAAATAGTACTAATTGTAAGTATCGAAAACAGTGAATTGATTTATTAGAGGTTTCCATGTTGTTCTTTAAATATTTAATATGATTTTTTTTATTTTTATTTATACGTTCCTATCATGCAAAAATTATTTTTACACTGACATAGCTTTGATTAAAATAAGGAAAACTTAGCAAATATAAAGCGGCTACTTTAAATAGTCATTACATTTTTCGGGGAAGAAAAACGGATGTTTACATGTGTAGAGAGAATGTTGGAAGAGAGACTGATTTAGTACACATTGTGCTAATTTTGAATAACGCTGATATAAAAGATTCTCGTGATCGAAAATCTTATAATTTTATGACTAATAAAGATCTTAGAATATTGCATATCAAAGTTCATGTGCGTAATAACATATAAATATAATATAATAAATATAGATAAAAACTTTCCATAAAATTTACAAATCACTGTTGCAAAGTAAAATTTTATAATTTTATAATTTTTATATGTATATTATTTTTATATGTGTATTAATGTAAAATAGTAAATATTATAATTTCTAGAATTATTTTATGTATTATTACATATGTATTTTTCATCTTTAATTATTTTTTCAATGCATTTTTATAATTCATACACTGATAAAAATAAAATGTTAATTTTAACTTAAAGACGTAATAGTGAACTTTTCGAGACAAATTGACATTTTTTTTACAAAATAATATATTATTAATTTTAACATTTTTTTATGTCTCAGAAAGTCCACTATACGTGTCTTTAAGTTAAGATTAAATAATATTTTATTTTTTCTACAGCATAGCTACAAGGCATCGATAAGAAATTTGCTGATCGGCAAACATTAAACGTCAAAACGCGTTGGCGTAGCTTGTAAATTTTTACATTATTTCGCATTACGTAAATCATTTACATGGAAGAGATGCAAACTTGTCCAAAGCAATTTTATAAAGCAGCACATAGATGAAGAAAAATGTTATCCTATCTTAAAAAGAAAATTATAAAATAAAGATCTCGTCGGTAAAAGAAGAACGAGTAGAAAAAGCACAATCGATTATTACTCTAAATACCAATAAGAGTTTTATGCACCTTTAACATAAGAGAGGTTAAAGGTAAATTATCCCTAAATAAACTGTTATTTTCTAACAACTTTGTTCTTTTTCTTCTTTAAAATAGCTTTCTAAAAGAATTGCTCTAAAATAATTCTTAAATTGCGTCAGTATGTAAATTTTGTGCTAAATCATATAATATTTTTATGAAGAATCATACTATATTATATTTTAAATCATATTATATTTTAATGAAAAAACATTTATAGTTTAATATTTTTTGTTTGTATTATTCTCTAAAATTCTAATTGTCTTTCTAATTATTCTTGTTCATACAATAACAAAGGTATATACAATATTTTCCGAAATTTTACGATTTATTTTCTTATAAATTAATTTTATCTGTTCATAACGTTTTTTTAAAAATAATTTTTTGTAAAATATACTTATATACTTATTTTTTCCTTGTATGTTTATTTATTATTATATTTACTAAGATTTATGAAAATTGATATATTGGTTCTTAGTATAAGTAGAAATTATTACACAATATCGCCGATATTTGTTACCGGATATTTTTCCGCGTACTGCATAATATATAGATAACTTACAAATGCAATTGAAATTGGATAAATTTGCATGTCGCACATTGATTATCAATTCTGTCTCAACGAGCTGATATTTTTTTCAGGTTCACTGCTCCGATAACAATAATCATTATATGTAGAATCGAGCACATATAACGTTGATAAGAGAATCCATGTGTCATGACGTTACTTGGGTCAAAGTGCAGGTCAGCACGTGATCAACGGTTAGATATTGTGAAATAATTATTCCTCCATGATTTTTGCAAACGTATTACAGTGTACATAAGCATGAAAAAAAGATTTGTTTAAATGGATGGCTAACTCTATTCACGTTTCATGTTGCAAGGTGAATTCAAGGATATAAGGCACTGGAATTAAACATGTTTCGTGCAATGCATGATTGCATAATTATACAGTCAATTATAAGTTGATCGATTGTTCAATTTTTAGTCATCAGACGTGTCAATTTTACATTGAATAACTTGGTTCAAATTTGTATGTCTAACACAAATATTTTATATATGATATATTTGAATAAACTTTCCTAACATCACATTTACTGATATTTATTAGTATTATATCATTAGAATGAGCCTAATACCAATTAAAATACTTTTCTGTATAAATAAAATTTTCCTAACATTTTAAATAGGAATTTTATTAAATTGTAATTTAAAAAATGTAAATTACTTTTTCCGTAATATGATAACAATGTTTTTAAACATAAATGTATTAAATATCAATGTATTTTGTCTTTAAATTAAAAAATCTTTCTATTATTAAATTTTATTGACAAATATCAAAATATACCGAAATTAATTAACACACTTTACTTGTTATCATTATTGATAGCACGTTTCAATCTTATGTTTTTACAGTGATCATCCGAAAGTATCGATATCAAATGCATCAAAGATTAAAAAAACAAATCGTGATTTAATATAAATATGATACAGAGGCGAGCGCAAATTCTATACCAACATCTATTACTTTCTCAGCTTGCAGAGTCGATCAATTTAGAATAGATTAGTTTTAATCATTATGGTGGCTATTCATATAATCTGAATAGCTAATATGTTACTCATAAAACAGAATTTGTTATCAGATAAAAATAATTTTAATTAGTACATTAATTTACTATAAACAATTCGGCAACAAGCGCTATTGCTATTGTCGGTTACCATTTATCATTCAAAATGAATAAGTAATAAAATATAATTTAAAAGAGAGAATGTAATCTTCAAATTAACAGATTAATTTCACGTATCACTGTTTATAAAAACCCTACTTGTCCAATTGCATATCTCCTCGGAGCTCCACCGGTGATTGCACCTGAAAAGGTCCGTCACCGCGATGACAAGCACGATAGTGAATGTGCTTTTGGCTGCAATGTCAGATGGTGGTCCTCATGTCGGAGTCGCCCCGCTTCACGAATAAATAAAGCGCGCGTGGACAGACGAGAATGTTCAATTATTTCTACCTATCTCTCTCTCTCTCTCTCTCTCTCTCTCTCTCTCTCTCTCTCTCTCTCTATAGGCTCGCCCACATATACACGCGTATGCACACGTGCATACGTTGCACTACATACGTACGCACGTCTGCGCACCGCGGTGTATACCGGAGAACTGTTTACCATCGGCTGACAGCCAGATGATAGCTTCCGAACGCACACTCCTCGGTGCCGGTGACGAGCAATCGGCCACTCGCAGCAACCAGTCGGTGGCTGGCAGCAGCGTGGAGACAGTTATCCAGTGATTTTGATAAGGAAACTCCGCCCAGATAGTGCCGAGATATGCTTGGGAATCCGGTCAGGCTGTCAGGAAGGGGTATTATTCTGTCATTTCGAAATCGGCGATGATACGATGTGACAATCGTCGAGTAAATGATGTCAGGTCCAAAGACTAGCCCGCAATTTCAAAGAAGCTATACGTCATTGCAGTACGCTCTTGCCGAGATTTCCCATAGATGGATATAGGAAAAATAAAGCTTCTACTAGTGAAGGTATATAAAGGCATCGATATGACGACATGTCCTGAATTTCTTGGAATTTAATTTAAATGTTGAATCAATTCACAATCTACGAAGTCGATTTTTCAATTTGCTGTCACATATTACAGGATGTTAAGCATCAATATTCGGAGAGAGAGAGAGAGAGAGAGAGAGAGAGAGAGAGAGAGAGAGAGAGAGAGAGAGAGA